GTAGTACTTGGAATGCGGATACCTTCGTCCCCTACACAGAGTGAGATTATGTCGTCCTTTTCAATATATAGCCCTTCACAGTAAGCTCCTAGCCCCAAAGCATAGCAAGAGGAACAGGGGGAAGACTTGGGGACGGCTGGCTGTGACGCAGGGCCCGGTGGGGAAGCTGCAGGCACACACGGCCGCATTTTGTGCAGATCCAACACATAGTAGGTTTTTCCTTCTTGTATCACATGCATAGTTATACTATGATGTACTTTAATACGAATAGGGCTGAATACCATCATCTTAGGTTAGATCAAGTGATGAATACATATCATTGAAATAGATTCCACGTATCGTATGATGTTGTATCGTTATACTGTGACATATCGCTTGTCATGATTATGCATTACAGTAATGCATTCGTAGAATGCATTGTCCAGCAGATACAGGGTGAGCCTGCCAAGTGCTGCAGGTCGTAGAGTATGGGCAGCCTTTCGATCTTCTCGTCGAAGGTGCGGCCCGTTGAGGGCTGCCAGTGAGCATCCAATCCCGCGGACATCTGTATTGTACTGCAGGCACTGGTGGCTTCAAAGCGGCTGATCGTATCAGGCCGCGATCAACCGGACAAAATTGTCAGAGTTCTGCATGTCTACCTCGTGCATAGTGGGGACGGAGTTGATGGATCCCTACAGTGCTTGTTTGCATTCCAGGCTGCAGAGTGCCTCATCGCAGCGCACCTGGACGTCTTAGGTTGCATCTTTCAGAGTACCATGTCGCCATCATTTCCAGATACCAAACTCAGGCCATGCTACGAGGAAGACCTGCGCTCTGCAGCTCGGCAGCACTTTCCTGTCGGCAGTTTGAGGTGGAAGCTGCATGGCTTCAAAGCAGACAACAGCTGAGGATTTGGTCGCAGCTCTTCCGGAGGACCAGGCGCCCTGTGAGGTTTCCGCCACCTCTGTGAGGCTGGAGCTCTCTCAGCCAACTTCACTTGGAGGATTTCCACCAGAACCTGAATATGTGGATCGTGATCATATCATACCATATCTATTATCATATCGTGCACTTGTCAGCTTTGCAGAAGCCGAGCCCAGTTTTCGGCTTTGGTGTGCTTAAGGAGGCATGGGGGGGTGCAATTGTCGTAGGGGCTCGGCACTTTATTAATGCACGGATCCACGCTCTTCTCCCCAAGCACCAGTAAGTTGGAGGTGGTGCGGGATCAAGCTGCCGTTGTCAGCCCCCTCCTCGTTGGTGGCATGCTGGCGCGGCTCCCGCCTTCAGAATGAGGGCATGAAAAAAGCATACTGAGTCAATCAGACTGGGTCTTTGGGGGGTCCTTCACGTTATAGTCATATGGGGATTTTAGACTAAAGATGTTGAAAATAGATTCTTGAAGCCCTACCCTAAACGCAAAGCACAATGAGGACTCCATGACTGACAAAGCATGAGCGTTATGAAACACCTTACCTTCACTCATCTTCATGTTATCAAGAGCAATCAGCAAGATGCGATGAATGCAACATGCAAGGTGTGGCGCCCTGGGTGGATTCTCGGCAGTGAATGCCAGCGGGGTGTCGGCGGTGTTTTTGGATGTTTGGCGCTCAGCTTCGACCTAATCTGGGATTCTCTCACGTACTATAGCTTCCTTATTCCACATCAGGGGTGGATCTGGAGAAGGAGCAATGTGTTGTTACTGAGCTTGCTCTGGCTAGTCCTGGCTACGCGCCGAGGCTGAACATTGGCAACCCTCCATGAGTGTCAAAATGAGGACGCAGCAGTTAGATCAAATCATTCCCAAGGCACAAGATCCGGAAAGACCCTTAAGAAGTGCAACTGGAAGTAGGCAAACCTAAACATTGGAAAAGGTGCAGCAGGGCCCTCTGGTACAGGGTCTGGCAGATCCCGTCTTCAGGCCCGCGGCTGCCCTTTGGTTAGGGCTCAGCTTTAAGGGTTCGTTGTCATTGCAGAGGAGGGACCATTGGGAATACACTTCCTGAACCAAAAAGGAGCCTACCTTATAGCAATTTTCTTGTTGTCTATCTCCAACAACTAGCAGATGAGCTAGGGTTTTTATGATGGTGCCGGGTGAGCGCAATATAGGGTTCCCTGGGAGTATAGGTGAGTGTATGCATGTCTGTATGCATGTATATTGGGTTTGGGAAGACCAAAAACTGTCATCCTACCCAACATGGCGGCCGCCGAAAAATTTGGGGTGAGAACGCGGTTCATCTTAAGGATTTTTGTAAGTATGATTGAAGTAAGAATTGAGAGAAGCTCCCATGCGCAGTGTGGATTGTAAGGATCCATTCCGTCGTTCCCACTAGGTACCAGGTAGTCTTAAGGTGGTAATCCGACGTAAGCTCTCAGCTCGCGCCCGCCGCAGCTTTTAGGCTCATCAAGAATTCCTTGATCGTGCTGGGGGGGCGCATGGGCAGCTGCCGTCATATAGGCATGGTAGCACATTTTGCATCTGCACATGAGGCATCCGGTCAATGTTGAAGACACGTGTCGCAAAGGCCATTGTCGCCCTCTACGCGGTGTGCTTGGGCTGGCGGTGGGAAAAGGAAAGTTAGCCTGGGCAAGCACGTTCCTGAATCTCTCCAGGTCTGCTTTGAGCACTTGATGTACTTGTGGATACTGTCTACAAACGGTATTCAACTGTGCACTGGTCGTGGCAGCTTAGGAGTTCCTGGAAATGACCTAACAGTAGCACAGGGTAGCCTATGTGGGGTCCTACTTCTTGGATCCCTCCAGGCCATTGGGGATGTAGCAATACCAGTAGCTACCATCTTCGCGCAGAGATCGTAGCCTGCAAGGATATGAAAAGATGAAGCAAGCAAAAGCGTCTATGAAAGCTACCGCAGGACCACTAGATTCAGTAGAGGCAAATATCACTAAGTCAAAAGAAAATGTCCCGCCATGAGACCAAGGGCATCCTTCTAGATCCTGCATCCTGCATCCTAAGCTGTAAAGCCTAAATCCTGATTTTTAGGGTTCAGAGTTCAGGGTTTCGGGATGAGGGATGACGGTCAATACAGGCCGGCTGGTCCATTTCTCGAGGCGCCGGCGCATAGCCGAGCCTTACGGCATCCTTCTGGCAAAGGAGGTGTAATTTTTCTCTGCCCTGAAGGCATGAATGTAGCTAATGTCATGCAAAAGAAAAACCCCTGTATCCACTAAATTTAGTGCAAGGTCCATCGTTTGTCATCAAGTGCAGTGGGTATCTCAAGATCTAACGCAAACAGCGCCTGAGTATGCTTCGAGAGGCACTTAGACCAAGCTTTCATACATGGAGGGCTACCGAGGCTGCAAAGACGGCCAAGATGAGAAGCAGTGATATCCTGTTCGTAAGAGAAGATGCACAACCAGGGTGATCTTGTTGTTGGATAAGAGACGGGGACTTGATTGGCTGGAATTCTTGAGCTGATGTCCTGCCTGCGCACCGTGGACTTGCGGATCTGCGAAAGCTTTAATAGCAGAGGTTTTGACCATCCAGACGACAAGTCTTGCCGCTGAACATTCAGCGCAGATCTTCACCAGTGTGCGAGGTTACCGGCGCTGAGACGGGTATGCTGAATCTGCTCCCTAAACGCTGCTGCAAAATTTCAAGGTGCCCATGAGGGCGCAGAAATTAAGCTGATACAAGGGAGATGTGACGCACTGCGGCATTTGCAATGTTGGATGCACCTTGAAGCCTTAATGCAGCTTTAAAGGCAGCTATATGCACCCAAGCAACTCACTCCTTCATTCTCACAAACAGGAGGCAAGCCAAGCGAATGTCTGTGCGTCCCATCTTCTACTGCAAGTCCGTGGGGAAGCAATTCGCACGCGCTGGTGTGACATATCATATTGACTTCATACTTAAGCGTACGGGTACACCTCGTGTTTATCAACTAAGTCAGAAGCAGATCATAGCTGTACATTCCACAGGATAAGAAGCGCAAAGTTATGTCTGAGCTTGTCATAAAAGGATTCCGCATAAGTGCGGCAAGCACTCAAGTCTGATGGTAGCGTAGTGCTGGAGTGACGCTGAAGGGTCTGCACATGCGGACGGGATAGCATAGTCCAGCTATTTCAGTTTATTCCACAACTATCATGAGGGAAGAAGAAGCTAGCATTAATAGGGGTTCCCCCGCATCCGCCATCTGCGCTGATGACCTGTAAGGCATTCCGAAGCCCACTTACTGATAGTAGCGTCAGACAATGGCGGTACGCCTCGAGGATCGTAAAAGCATTTGTGGTGGACGAACTTCTGCCCTTATTTTTCCTGAATGCGTCATGATAAGCCGGTTGAACCCTTTAAACAGACTTATTCGGAGCCTACTTAATAGAAGTGGTTGACTTAAACGGGGGTTTGCAAGTGTTTGCTGGCCACAGATGTACATCTTTGAAAAACTAGGTTACCCTCACGTACCTCTCAAACAATTCTGCCCTTTGGCAACTCCCTTCCTGAAATTGCCCTTCACTTGCAAGCGCTTCTGCCTTTTGGATTTAGACCTCACTCATCAGCTAGCCGATAGCGTCTCATCTTGCAGCATTAGCACACATGTAACTACAAACACTAGAGATACCTTTAGGCATGGATTATACAAAATAGGTAGTGGGAACCCGCGCAAACATAAGAGAACAGCGAGCTTCCGCTTCGCTGATTTGGTCACGTTCACGGCGAGCCGAGCTTCACTTTCTTCAGGGACGTGCAAAGATCCTTGCCTTAAGAGGAGCCTGTGGACCCACGAGCTTTGCACTACGCACTTCTAAAACCTTCTGTAGAAGTCTGGACAACTACCAACATTCCTCCCTAACGATCTTAATGCGCATGGCCCTAACAAAAACGATCTTAATGTGCTTCAAGTATTTGTACTACTTATTTAGGCCTTTACAGGCATTTCCTTTGAACCAATATATAAGCCCAGTTACCATGCCATGTTTCATTTGGATCTTGCATCATCCAAATCCTTTTGGCTGCTCCCTAATTAATCACGAATCCCCGTGCCTTGGCCTTTGCCCAAGCAAGGATGACTTGCTGGGATATCGAGCAGAAGGGCTTTTGCCCACGTGTCCAAAAGTTTGGCGGCTGCAAATACTGCAGCTCGACAGTTGGGTTTTGGGTTCAGGAGGTGCTGCAAGGCAAGGAGGTCTGTGCTGAGTCTCATGGAGTCTTTGCAGGTAGTGGGGCCGATGATGGCAAGGGCGGTGGCAAGGGCTGGGGTGGAGGTGGAGACTTGGCTGGAACCGTCTATCTTGCTCGCTGCTAAGGCTTTTCGAACTGACCACGCAATTGTCCAGACTTAGTTTTTTGGTTGTTTTTTTTTTTCTTTTTTTTTAATAGCGGACTGCTGATGCTGGAAGGAAACAGCTGGAATGGTGGTGGCGGCAAAGGCTGGGGTGGTGGAAAGAGCTGGGGCAACGGCGGCAGTAGCAAAGGTTGGAATGGAGGCGCGGCACTTGCCCATCATCGTAGCAATTCAGAAGTGACGCGGCTGAAACAGAAATCCACGCCTTGCAGCACAGGTGGCAAAGGCTGGGGAGGAGGAGGCGGTAGCCCTGGAGTCTGGAACCAGACCTTGAAGTGGAACATGGGCAAGGCTGGAGTCTTCAATGCTTCAATTCTGTGAGGGCTCAGACAGAGTCACCCTGCCCTTACTTTGGCTGCATAGGGCAAGGGCAAGAACGACCGCAAGCCGATCGACCCTAGCAAGACTGCATCTTGGCTCTCTCAGAATACCGTGTTTGCTGAAAAATGGAAGCCTTTGGGATTCTATGGATATGCCAGGACTATATTCGGATTCTTTGAATTTGCATACTTGATTTCTGTGTTTCCTGTGTGCTCAGATCTGGATCGGGAACCTCCCGGAGGAGACCAGCTACCAAGAGTTGAGCCACGGTGAAGAAGCACAAAGCGCGCAGGTAATGTAGAGGCCTGAAAAAATGCAAGCAGTAAAGGTTTTGTACTTCAACTTGGTCATCTGCGCGTGCTCTCGCAAGAAGATAGGAATAGCATCTGGAGTTTGGCCATGTCTGGGAAGGAGAACATGATGCAGCCTGAAGCTAAGGAAGTCTCACGCAGAGGCTGCGGGAGTCATGGCACTCTGGGCGCAGACATACAAGGGCAAAGGCGCAGGCCGGATCGGTGCGCACTTCAGTTTGTAGGTACGGAGATCCAGCATGACCTTATTTATCATGGATTACCTTGAACCTTTGGTTTATGAAAGACTTGCAGCTACCCATGAACCTGCAAGTAACCTTCCACTACCCTGAAGGCAGAAATCCCAAATTCCTACTTGCATCCTCCCAAACACTGCTCATAACACCCCCAAGTAGCATTCCATTACCCGAAACCTTGGAAGGCTCAGCCCTTACCTGCATCCGTTGTCAGGCACAGGTGCAGTTGGCTTCAAGACTATGGAGGAGGCTCAGCAGGCCGCTTTGCATTTTACTCAGAGCGCGTATTGAAACCAGTTGTTAGGGAGGTTGTGGGTAAGAGTCATACCAATAATAGCAATAGCACTTGTAGTGGCATTAGTGGAATAGCAATAGCAATAGCATGAGTAGTAACGTAGTATTTATAGGTTTTTCTTCGCTCATTTATGCGTATCCACCAAGCTAGCGTGCGGCACGAAACATATTTTGGAAACTAGGCGATGACCACAGATTGCAGCCGTCAGTGCGTCTACTTCATGAGGCTTCTTTCCATGTTAGAAGTGTCGATGTTCAGGGTTCACAACATGGTCCACTTCAAAGAGTGCACCTAAGGTTCATTAGGGTCCTTACAAACAACGGGTTATGGGCTGTGACTGACATGAGGCTACGATGATTTTGAATGGCTCCATCTTCAAGAACGTTGCGATCATTGCTGACTCCTGGGAAAAGCAGCGAAAGTGGTGAGACGAGAGGTTGAGAGCAGGTCTCCGGGCTCAGGAGATTCTGAACTCTTGCCGCTCATGCAGTCCATCTGAAGTGAAAGCATCCCAGTCCTGGGTTTAGGGTGTAGTGCTTAGCACAGATGCTACAAGGATAGGCGACAAAAATATGTTGTACTTGTCCTAACAACGAAATGATCTGGGTGGTGGGATGTGCCCACGTCTTGTGCAACGGCATTGGACATCGTGGCATGCGGTGGCGTTTTGGATGGAAGTATCTGCAGATGCACAGCTCAGCGTGCCAGGGACTATTGCAGAGGATAGCAGAAGCATTTCGCCAGCACTTTGGTGTGATAGGTCAAGGCACGCTGGCTTTGTAGTTGTATTCAAGCTTTCTGGTGCCAACCGGCTGTTAAGCGGGTGACTGCGCTGCTCATGAGGTCTCTGCTGTAAAAGCTGCAAAACGGGATGCTCCTCTGACTGGTGCTAGATGGGGGAGTTGAGGAGTGGAACCTATAAACCTCCCCATGTCATCCCAGCACCATGCTGGATTCATTCTCCAACTCCCGCACCAGTGCCAGTGCCAGTGCAAGTAAGCCTCGCGATGTCAGCAGTACCAAGAGTGGCCTTGGCCATCTCCATCTGCAGCCTCGAGCTGAGAGCTCAACATGCCAGACTGAGAGAGGGCTTGGGTTTGTTCATTCAGTTCAGAGGATGTATGTTCATGTACCATGCTGATACTTGCTGATATGAACCGGTTACACAGTCGATGTTGTCCTGCCTGGCAGGCGAGAGCTTCCGCCGGCTGCCAAGAGTCGCTTGGACAAGAACCAGTGTTCTCCACATTTTCAAAGGGGCTTGTGGCCCTGTGCTTGAAAGCTAGCATGAGGGTTGGACCTGTAGCTAACACCCAAACTATTTCAACATCGGTCGGTCAGACTTGAAGACTCGTGGTATAGATCATCCTTGGGACATTTCCGCATCTGTCTCTTGGAGTGAAGCCGGGAGGGGAATCGTTCTAGGTGCATGGCATTTTGTATCGACAAGCACATTGCGACCCAGTGTTCCTCATCTAGTCGAGGCGAATGGTCTGGCTGGACGAACTACATCAACAAGGGTACTGCCCTCAACTTTCTGGTGCTAGTGGATCCCCACCATAATCCCTAGATGATTCCATGTTCTAGTGCCGCACGTTTGCTCCCCCACTGCCCCTGCACCATTCCTTAGAGACATTGGCGCGGGAAGCGCATTTATTGTAATCAATGCTCCCCCCCGCGCAAGTCCTGCTGAGGCACATACAACGTCTCCGTGCGCATGGCAAGCCGCAAGGCCTTTGAACTTAGGATCCGTGCCAGACCGAATCAGCCAAGTTGTGAGGCTAATGGGCAATGACTATGAGAATTACAATCAAGAAGCCTGACAAAGCTTCCACTTGTTGCAACTGTTGAGCATTCTGACTCTGCCCTACATGAGTTCCTGAGTTTACTGTACCTGGCCAAAGGGGCGACTGTGTCTTGACAGGTGGACACTGTACCAGTATAGCTTATGTAGGGAAAACCCAAATTATAGACAGGTAATGTCCTATAATCTCCCAAAAGTACTGCTGTGAATATCCCATAGTCTAAACATCCTGTAGTATCTTCTATGTATTACTCTGAATAAGCAACGTTGTTTTGTAATATGTCCATGAAGCCATAACAGTCTACGCATCTTTGAGGACACTCCAGACTCCAGATCTTCAACAGGAAAGCTATGCCCCCTAAATCCTAAACCCAAAACCTCAAAACCTGAAGCTTAGATTTCCAAATCCTAAGGCAAGAGAAAAACATCACCCTCAGCAAGTTGAGTGTCTGCAGAAAGTTCATCACTTCGCCTCACCAGGCGCTTGGGGCAGGCTCCCCTGGACCAGTCTATGTGGCGTTCGGAGCCTACGCAGGGCCCAGAGCTGTAGATTTTGGAAAGCAATTGTGTGAGCTCACCAGCTGTTGTGAACGATAGGTCTCAGGCTGCGGATGTTCAGAGTTATGCTTCCACTTACTAGCGCTTGAGGGGGAAGCCGGGGAGTGAATATTGGGATTGATGTGCGGGATTCACAGACATAGTTACAATTTGCAAGGATCCACTTCCTTGAACACCAGTAAGCTCCATGCCCACCATAGGATCTGCGAGATGCCCGGCAGGCCGGCTGTCTCAGGGCCGTGTGCATTTAGGACAGGATGGTCCAAAGTGGAGAATAAACGGAAACGGTGTTTCTCAGGATAGACGATTTAGCTTACCCGAAGACAACATTCGGCATGTATACTATCGTAGTAGCAGCAACACGCGTGGGGTAGATGGTACTTCATGTGGTGCAGGTGCCTGGATCCCATCGAGCTTCGAGAGTTGCCCAGCGACTGGGCTGCAGCTGCGAACAGATTCTGGAAAACTTCAGATAAGGAGTTCCAAAAGAGGGGCCACCAGATGGACCCCCATACATCAAAAGACTTGTTGCAGAACCCGCCCCAAAAACACGGACAGAACCCCCAGTGATGAGGATTTCCAGCCAGGCAACACTCAAAGAGCAACGCCCGCCATTCATAGCTCTGTTGGTGTGTGCTGGATTCTTTTTAGAGGAAACGGGATGTCAATCTCTCAAGCTTCTGACTTGCGGGAGGTATCGGTATGTTTCGGGGCAGGTGGCTTACAAGGGATTCGGTTGAGTATGTCAAGCAATCCTATTGGAATCCCCAACAGTGAGAAGGACAATGACCCCCATATGAGGTAATTGAACTGAAAGAAAACCATTTTCAGGTGATGGTGGCTTCGTGGAAGCCTGGGAGATGAAAACCTGGGGCTGGGCCCTTGGTTTTGGCTTAACTGGTAGTTGCGGGACGGTCGGGAAGCAATACATGATCCCCTAAGTCAGTCCTAATTCTCCCTGAAGCACCAGTAAGTCCATGGGATTTTGCTCCAGTTTAGCTGCCGCTTTTTGTGCTGAAGGCGGAACGACACTCTTCCCGCGGGGTGTGCCGGGGGCCTGGGCATGTGGCTGAGTAGAAGCCTCAGCAATTACCAATATGCCAATATTCCTCCCTGTAATATTATGCTCCATGACCCTATGGTATGTATCTAGGCCCTAGCATCAACCATTCCTTGCAAACCCGGCATCCAGGACTGTGAGCTCGATCTCAACGGATGCGTACTTGGCAGACTATGTGGACGTTGCTCTCATCAATGCGTGGCAGGGCCCTTGGATGGAATACAAGAGTAGAGTGGCTCAGCATCAACCGCAGTCACATCTAGCTCTTTGCAAGCCTTGTTTATGGAAGAGAGAGTTGCAGTCTCTGATGTGGGGGTTGTGATTCTTATAAGCTATAGCCATACCCAATGCGCAAGCAGTTTTGTGAAGTGGGCGCAGCCAGAGCTACTGTGCTCGAGGCGGCGTTTCCCGCTGAACAGATGGATCCTTTCACAGGCAAGTTGTGTGTGGTTTCTGCCTCCTTACTACAGATGAAGCTCGTGTTTCGTAATGCACCTACCTACGCTTAGATGGACAGAACCTTGCATGACCTAAACCCTAGGAATAACGGTGCCAAAGTATACTTGTAGTTGTAGTCATTCAACATTTTGTCCATAAACAGTAGGTATGGGGTTTCGTGCAACCTCTCCAGGAGGAGGACTCCTTCGCTGGCTGGGAGATGTTCACACCTCCGCCTGGTCCTTGGCGTTTGTCGATTTCTTGCTCTTGGGACTAGTCGACCTGTGCATGTCACCAGGCCCATGCCAAATGCAGCCCCGACACGATCCTTCTACACGGAGGTCAGGGCAACACGCAATTTGCACTAACATGGCGCTGAAGTGAGCCCCGGCTTCTCGCAGCTTGCCAGGGGGATCGCTGTGGAGGCTGTGGTTTGGGCATGATCTGCCAGAGCCTCAGTCTGAGCGCGGAAAGGTGCTGCTCGTGCTGCCACTGCCGAGGTCGTGAGCGTCCAAAAACTGCGTTGGAGCTGGCCGTTGAGGCTCAGAATTCATGGGGCCCACCCTCTCTCTGTCCTTACCCCTTGCCTCCTTACCCCATACAAAGTTCCTCTTTTGGACAGGGCGTCTCTCTCGAAGTCCAGTCGCTGTCGGCTTTCACCTCAGAGCCTCCGCAAACCTCATGAGTATCCAACTGTGCCAGGGCATTTTCCCGGATCTTTTTTGAATTTCAAGAGTGAGTACGTGCAACAATAAAACCTGAATAAAAACTGATAGTTACCTTCGCATCAGGGTCATCTTCCACAAGGGATGCTGCCCATTCGCTTTGCTCAGAATTTCTGATGCAGTGCTGGGCTCAAGCGCTTGTGATTCGAAGCATGGCTACGTTGCAAGAGCACGAAGCACTTCCGAGCAGGCCGCTCTTGGGATCTTCAGCTGGATACTTCCTTCGCTGCCTCCAAGTTTAGGTTTACTGTATAGTAGAAGGTGCGATATAAGCACAAACATTTCCAGAATCAAAAAACCCAACCTTATTCAAATAATTCAGGCCCTTCTGCTGCCTTGCGTCTGGCACACTGTCGGTGGTGCTTCCGTGAGGCGATCTGCAGGTGCATTCCCTCTGAGAGGCTACGGGCGACAGGACCCCTCAGCCTCAACTTGTGTCTAGTACAAGGAAAGTACAATGAGCAGGGAGAACCATGGCAGCCTTTGATATCTCGATATCAAGCCCCAACTAGCAACAGGAGAAGCCCCACCACCCTGGTTACATCCCTACGTGAGGAGCTGTTCATCGCCGACCGTGCTGGCCCAGTGTCTGCAGGGTGGCTTCAGCTGCAAGCAGCATGGCAGAGCATGAAATGGAGCATGGAGGAAGTGGAAGGGCGTCGTCATCAAAAACGTTTTGGCTCAGGGTCGTCTCCCGGAATCTGGAGGAGGTCTTTACCACCACTGGCACTGCAGAGGCAGGTATTGCAAGGTTCCTTCCAAGATGCAGCCCAAATAGCTAATCCCTTGCAGGAGGCCCGAAGGGGTGCTGAGCAGCTTGCAGAAGCAGCGCGGCGGACTTCAGACGAACGGCTGCGAGTCCTTGCGCCGCTGAGCCGAAGACCAAACGTTCAATGTGTAGCCAAAAGCCCGGGCTCCATGCGGGTCTTATCTGGAGGTGGTTTCCCGCAGTAGTCCTTCTACAACTCCATATCCAATCCCCCCAGCCGCTCCCTGCTAAGCAGCAGGGAGTTATCCTGCTGTGGAAACGAAGGCTCTGCAAGCGTGCGGAAGCTGGTGTCCTAGAGCCCGAGCTTCGACCAGAAATTGCGGACGAGGCGGGGTTCCCTCCCAGAAGTGCTCAGCTTGTTAAGCTTAGTGAGGGTATTGTAGACAAAATTGCCCACGGTCTTCCCTTTAATGCTTACTGAACACAAGTTTTTAGCTGTGGTGTAAGGGGAAGCCGGGGAGTGGTTTCTTTTACAATCCCAAAGAATCCTCACTACAGTATCAAAATCCACTCCACTCCGCAGCTCCCCTTCTCAACAGTAAGTCGAGTGCATTCCTGTGCGAAGGCTCTTTCTGCTGTACGAGAGGCGCGGTCACTCTGCGACGAACTCGGCGACTTCGAGGCAACGTATCAATGCCTAATTTGTAATTCTTGTGTTCACAGAACCAGAACCCTGGGATGTTTTGCCAGGAGGGCGAGGCTGCAGCTACTTGGCAGACTGAGAGCAGCATCGTGGTGAAGCTCATAGTAAGACTTGTAAAAAACAGTAATATTATTGACGCTGGTAGTACTTAGTGGTGTAATCATGGTAACACTGGTAATTAATAGTAGCTAGTACTGATTCACTTCAATTGGAGCCAGGTTCGCTTCGTTGCTGAGGTCAGCTATGCCAGCGCACGCTGCCAGGTCCGATTCGCACCTGGCGACGAAGAAGCGCAGGCCTGGGAGAAGAGAGAGAGAGCCCCCACCTGGTCCCTAAACACAATTTCCATGTGATTAATCCCTATTATCGTGCGTATATTCACTAACCCACTCTCCCTCAAGGTGAGTTCTGCCATTGTGGCTGTGTGCAGGATCGGGCCCTTGATGAGGGCAGTGATGCCGCAGCACTCTGCCGCTGCCAAACTGCACGGACTGCGTGGGTGTATCTTTTTTTTATCGTCACCTTTTGGATCCTGCACACCCTGCCTTGTGGGTAACAAGGTGTCCTTGGCTGTCGCAAGGGCGAGGCTGCTTCATTGTCCACGGTGGGCGATGCCTACCATGTCATGAAGGATCGTTTGCCTTGTTGATGCGAAATTGGGCATGAATCTAGGCACCATTGTACTGGGGCTCTACCCGCCGGCTAGCTCCCATGAAGCGTAAGAAAGTTACTGGCTTGGAGTGCCAGAGCGTTCTGCCAGGATGCCACCAAAGCCGTGGACTACCACAAACAAGCCTTGGCTGTCTTCAAGGACAGTAGCTGCCCACTCATGTCTCTTCATGGCCACGCTCAGCGTTTCTTACTGGTGCAGAAAGGGGGAGTGAATATAGGCAGAGAGACAGCTACAGGGATCCACTCCATCACTCCTCCCTAAGCACTAGTAAGGTTTGTATCTGAAGGACATGGGCGACAAGACTCTCAGCGAAGATTATGCCTTCCAACCCTTAGAACAGCCTTGCTGTAGTGAGTCACTAAGGAGCTGCGTGGCGTTTGCTTACACAAAAATCTCCGAGGACTATCGCGAGGCTCGGCATGTCCTGGATTTTCCTGCGCTTGCTTGCATGCAATTTGGAGGCGTCAGGTAGGTACATTTTGCTTTATCTCTGCTCCGTGGGCAGCTCAAGTTGGATGCGAAGAAAGCCAGCAACAACATGAAGCAGGCACGCTGCCCGCAGATTCAGGGTAAGTGCTCGAGCGACTCTTCTCGGCTGGGAGGGATTACGGAAGGCAGTCTGACCTTGCATGAGTAGGAAAACCTGTAAAACCTGTCCTGTAAAACCTGTCTCAGGCGATTGTCCTCTTTCAGGAGCTTCAGAATGCGCAGGACGCGGCAAGACTTAAGGGCACCTCTGGTGGTGGAGTGGAGCTGTACTCGTACTCAGTATTCGTGCATGTGCCCTTCATGGCAATCTGGCAGCTGGTGAAGTATATTTAAGACCTGCTTGCATTGAGTTTGGCATGTCCATGTCAGTCAGGGGCAGGTCGGGAGAGGCAGGTCCTGAAGACCCTCATTTACCATAGAGCTGGCTATGTGGAAGCGCTTTTCAGGAGGAAGGGCAGTGCTGGCATCACTTAGCGCGGATTCATGCCATGGCTGGAGCACCTTGGTCTTGAAGAGTGGGGTTGTTGATGCTTGATTGGCCTCTTGGTCCTTGGTAGGGAACAAAGTCAACGGGAGTGGGGCATGGGGAGTACGCTAGGGATCCTGCCTTTCATTCCCAACCAAGAAGAGGCCAGTTCCAGTGCATTGAGTGCCAGAGACTCCTGTATCACTCGACGTAAGACCTGGACAGTGTAGACGAGGAAGCAGAGTCGGTCATCGAGTGCATCACGAATGCCCGGACGCTCTTCCAGGCTGTCAAGGTCGGCCTAGTCTTCGTAGAAGCGGCAGCTGAATGCTGTATAGCTTTTTAGAGTGACTGCCATTTTCAGTTGCGGAAGCGAAAGAGTGTCCTTCATGACATGTGACAAGTGGGCAGGACCATGCATCAGAGACCAGGGCAATGGAGACCCTGGTGCAACCTGGCATAGTGGCAAAGCGCTTCAGCTTGCCTTTTCTTGGAAGGGAATGAAGCTATTACGGTTACTTGGGGCGGGGAGCTATCGTTGCCGGGGTTCTTTCCTTCAGCAAGAGCTATGCAGGGCCTGCTCTAGAGCAATCCAGGCCGCGTGTATGCGGATTTGACGTGGAAAATATAGCGATCCAACCCCTCGACCCCCCCCCCCCAGCACCATGCTTCCTTCACGTAAGACAGGCAAATGCTTCTGGACAATGACCGCTACGAGGAAGCCATCAAGCTTGGCAAGGAGCCGGGACAATCATCTCTGGCAACTGTTCTGCTCGTTTTTGTGTAGCTGGATGCTGCCCAAAAACTGATCGCCCTGTGAGCACAACCCAGACTCCTGAGCATGCCAGGTTCTGCTAGATAACCAAACCCATCTTACGCTGAATAGTCAGCACAGGAAATCGTGACAGTGAACCACGCTGCTGGCGACAAGGACTGGCTGGGCTGCTGGGGACTCCAAAAACATGAGCCTTTGTTTCAGTTTCAGGGGTATCATAGGAGTTAACTTGGCTAGGGATCGAAGGGATACTTAAGCCTTAGGCTTCGCTTTTTTGGTGAAGGATACACTCCCAGATTCTGTATGTTGGACCTGGGGCACCTTCTGACATGAAGGTGATACCGCTGGCGTTGGTAGTAGAGGTTGTCTCTCGAATGCTGCGTAGGGAATCGGGAAATGGGTTTGAGGGACAGGAACTCACAGGAACTACCAAAGGGATCCACTCCTTCATTCATTCCCTACTCAGAACCAGGAGGTGGTGCTAGTAGCAGCCGCAGCCGCATCAGTGCCGTCAGCCCGCAGCATGCCTTGCCTCCTGCCTCTGCTCCTGTCCGGCAGCAGCGCTTGTCTGCAGCCCTGGATGAGGCTGAGCGGGATGCCTGGCTTTCTGCCGCGGATGGCGAAGCCCGCCGCGCCCACCTCCGTCTTCTGCAGGAGCCTGGTGCAGGCCCGCCCTGCTGAGGCTCCGGGCCTGTCATTGGAGCCACAGTTCTTCCGCATCCTCCTCCTGCGTCTCCGCTTGCGCCTCCCTGTTGCAGCCACCGAGGGCTACTGCCCCTTGTGCGACGGGGTCGCGGATCGGTTTGGCGACCACTCTCTTATCTGCCCGTGTGGAGGGGACCGCGTGAAGCGGCACAACCGACTGCGGACCACCCTCGCTGCGCGTGAGGCCGCCGGTCTCTCTCCAGAGGTGGAGAAGCCTGGCCTCCTCCCAGCTCGCCCTACTGAACTGGGTTTCTGCGAGGCGGGGGGGCGCTGCCACTTCACAAGGACGTCGCCCGGCAGACGTGTAATTACGTCCCGCAATGGGGCTTACATGGACCCGCAGCATTTGACCTTGCAGTCACCAGCGCGCTCCGTGGAGACGTGCTTGCCGCCTCTGCCTCTGACGGCTCGCGGGCATGTGCAGCCTACGAGGACCGCAAGCGCGTTCACCAACAGACCCTCGCCCAGTGTGAGGCCCAGGGGCTCCAATTCGTGCCTCTTGTGGTCGAGGCTCGCGGTGGGTGGGGGAAGACAGCCATGAACACCTGGCGTTCCTTGGGCTCCCTCCTCTCTGCCCGGACTGGTGAACCTGCCAGTTTGACCATAGACCAGTTGCTGCAGAGCTTCAGCGCGGCGCTCCAGCGTGAGAACGCCCGAGCCATCCTCCAGCGCCTCCCTGCTGGACCTAACGCCCCTGCACATCTCGCCGAGCCCTAAGGCCCTAGGTGCTCTGGGGATTAGTCTCCTTTTATGGTGGAATTGTCCGGTTTCGCTGAACCAAAAGGCTGTCGTAGCCATAGTCCCCCTTCCTCGACCTCTTCCCCTGCAGCAGCGCTGCTCGGCGCTGCCTTCTGAGATGCCTGCTGCCCCTGCTGCTCTCCCTTCTTCGTTGTGTTGGTGTTGGGTGNNGTGTTGGTTGGTTCGGGTCTTTCGGTTGGGTTTGTTTTGTGAGGACAAGGTGAGCAGCCGGGCTTGTACGTTTCGTAGTCGTTCTTCGCTTAGTTTTCACCAGGCCGCAGCAGGAGTTTTTGTCCCAGTGGGTTTTTGTCCTGCTTGTACAGAGCGGTATTCACTAGCAACTCTCTTTTCACCAGACAGAGATAGTTGTTTTTCTAGAACTCAAGAAGTTTCAGCATGCTGCTCACAAGGTAAGCCCTTCAGCAGCTGAAGGCTGGACATCAGCATCACCGTCAGCAGCAGCAGCAGCAGCAGCAGCAGAGGCAGCAGCAGCAGCAGCAGCAGCAGCAGCCAGCTGCAGCAGCTGCAGCTGCAGCAGTCAGCGTAGTCATTGTCGTCGTTGTTGTCGTCAGCAGTAATTGTCGACTTTGTAGTATAGTTCAGGTGTGAGTCCTCATGCGTTTCAATTTGCAGGAGGGTGAGGCGCGCAGCCTGACCAAGCTCGCAGAGCACCTGCTCCGCCTCCTGTCAGCAAACTTGCTTCTTGGTGCCTAAGCGGGGAGTCTGCGAGGGAATATGAGTAGTATCAGATTACGTTACTTTGGATTAAAGGCATCTACTACTCCTCGCTCTCCTTCTTTAGGCACCAACGAGGCTTGGAGCCAAGGCTATCCAAGGGCCAGTGCCAGCGGCTGTGCATGATGATCTGCAATCTGCAAACTCTTCAACCTCAAGCTCGGTGTACTGGGAGCCCCCCGCACCTCAATTAAGGAATATACTCCGAATGAGATTGGGAGCCCTTATGTGATCGAAGGTAGGTCATATTACTACAATTGCGGGGTTTTGTGCTTCCCGGGATCTATGTTGTTTTCCACCTGGCCTGCCAGAATTTAAACCCAGTATGCATCAGGTGGATCTTGACTTCCTGTTATAATGAATCACAGAAAGCAAGGAATGTCAACTGAAGATTTTGGATACTATCCCAAAAACGGACCAGCCAATGATCTGTGACTGAAGTTACTCTTGCTGCTTCAAGACAGTCAGGCCTTTCGGCTTTCGCAGACTTTGAATCCATTTTTCATGTCATTCTCCATTTCGTTCTCCATTGATGCAATTGTTTGGGCCCACAAGGGTGCAGCAGAGAACTGATATGATAGTGCATGCCGTCAGTGTTTGAATGCAGCTAAGGCAACTACGCAGCTTGGCCGCAGGCCGTAATACAGCCATGTGTTCAGACGTGTGCAGGTTTTTCACGGCATCGCGCATCAGTCTGCTGGGTGAGGTAATCCAGCGCCACCTAGACCCCAAAAACTTTTGTAATTGCTACGACTTCATAGACTTCGGGTGGTGCAACATTCTTCCCTGTAGAGTTTCTCATAGTTCATCCTCTATGACAGCAATCCTTCCTCTGTGAGCCATCTTGTTAGGATTCTCAGCTTAGGGCTTCGTGGTTTAGGGGTTTGGGGTTTTGGGGGTATTTAGGGATTTGGGATTTAGGGGTTAGGATTTAGGTCATCTCCAGAATCAGCATCAGTCCGGCTTGAAATCCACTGTCGTGTGCCCGTTTCTACATGTGAGTTGCAGGGCAAGCTGCGCTGCGCCAACTCATTTGTGACCCTTCCCCCGTGCTAAGGATTGGGCAAATGCGGAGAAAGTTGCGTCCGTTGCAAATTTGCTGTTCAAGAGCTTGCGAGAGAAGGCCAGCCGCGCATCACATCCCGTTGTCATTCTTGCTCGAGCCTGCTGTGGTTGCCTGGGCCCACGGCAGTCTCTAGCCGGACTTGCTGCGTCGCTTCAAAGAGTTGTCATCATCACTGTCCAATTGTGGTGATGGCTTGAGATCATTTGCTTAGAGGCTGGGGGCCCTGTTTTCCAGCCAACATGCCGTGCAGGAGGGCATCGATGTCACGCAGAGGATGAAGGCGGCCGGGCGCAGACGGCGCAGGGATGAACATGTGGTCGTACAGTCTATGGACAAAATCCTGCATAACCCCATGCCGAGACCTTAATCTGGTACTAAAGTACTAGAGTAATCATCAGGTCAGGCAGGAATTTGAGAGGATGTGGACCCTCTTTGTGAGCTTGTCTGGGCTGTGAGGACATCGCTGAGCACCAGGGCAAGGCAGGCCGGCTGGAGGCATCGTTGGCGCAGCAGCAGGCCGGAACCACGAGCCATGAGATGCGAATTCGCAGCATCCCAAAATTTCAAGCACCACCCCACTCCTAAAACCAAACAGTCCCTAAAGTGGACGATATACTCTGCTCCCAGGACTTCCTCCACTTGCCTCAGCCGCTGATGATCGACCCCGGCAGGCCTGGAAGCATCTCCACCCATTCCGTCGCAGCCCAGAAGTTGGTAACAGAGGGGAAATGAAATGACTGCGCATAAGCAGGGACTTCCCGAATCAAAGGAGGCTAGCAAAGTCTTCTCAGGCTTGGATTTCCTTTTAGCACGATTGATTTTCCCTGGAAGGAAAAAGCGGATGCAGGAGGCCTACAATGCCGCTGCCTCAGCTTGGCGAAAGAGCTGGCAGCGGAAGCTGAGTTGAACGTAGCGATGCTGCTGCCTTGCTGGGTTCAATGCTTTCTACAAGACGCCCCTACAATGCCAAGGCTTTCGCCAAAGCTGCGTGAGCCGAGCTGTGTCGTTTCCTGCCAGACTTCTGGGCAAAGGGGAGAGTTTCTGTGGTCTGCTAAAAACCCCGCGATTCTCTAAAGACCAGAGCACTAAAGCAGTTCCAGGCCCAAAGCCACAGAAGACCAGTTCTGTGCTTCGTCTTCCGCCCTGACAAGAGATTTGCAGTCCCAACAGCTACAGATCACTGCTTTGCTTCCGCAACCTGACTGATTACACAGGAACAATTTAGCCAATCAGATCAAAGGGAGCTCTTCTCTGCGCAGAGAAATCAAAACTGCAGAATTTCGCGGAGGGCATTGCAGAGAACATGAGATGGCATGGGGCTGGATGCTAGTGAGCGCGCACAGGAGCAAAGACGGTAGCAGATGTCACCGCAGCTTGTCAACAGAAGGTCCCACATGATTACATGACTGTCAATCCAACGCTAGGAAATGATCTTCGCTGAACAGTTTTCAGCCACATCGGAGCGCTTAGGTTATGCAGGTGTGCACAATTCATCAGATCTCAGGTGGCTTTGAAGCAAGCGATCATCAATAGCGGAGCATACCTAAACTGCTGTTTTGAGCTTTAGGAGTTTAGGGGTCTAGGGTTAAGAATTTAGCGGCACGACTTGACTTGAGAGACAGGGATGGGGCGCATCATGGCGCGCAAGATGCGCTGGCTGCGGCCGAAGTTCTTGCAGCTGCTGTTGCTGTCCGTGACCTTCTGGATCCGTGGCAGCATGTTGCTACCAGGGGCTCAAGGTCTCTACCATGTTAATGGTACCTTCTGTTAGGCCTTGCCTTCGTGACCGCTGCAAGCAGCTGCATCCTCTTGCTGCGGGATCAGGAGCGCCCAGATTGCGTCGCGCTGCATGGCGCCTGCACCACTGCCAAGGCCATCGGAGTTTTTCAAAGTGAGGGTGCGCTCAGGACTTCAAGGACGTACGGATCACGCGGCCCATATTCGAGAATATGTTGGCGACAATTGGCAAAACTTCGGGTTCTCACTGTCTCTTGTTTGGTTGGCATGCCAGCCTGTAGGCAATAATGCTTAACATGGCCCGTAGGGCTGAAAGTATTGTCTCTATGAGCAGCGAGCGCTTGTGCCCTTGAGCCCCTGTAGAAGCTAGAGTGCTGACTAATTATGCCCCCCGAAACCTTGTATAACATGAGTATAACACTATCGAACTTTTTGGGCCTCTGGCTCTCGATCCTCTGGTCT